TTCAAGGGTGTTATTAGTTCCAGGTAAATCAGAATTGTCTCTCTCAAAGCACAATGACACGTATTTCAAGATTAGGTATTTCAAATAATTATTATGTAGTATAACTTGTGGAGCATTATAAAGTACAGACTCTCAAGAAAGCAGTTGAGCAACATGCTCCATAAGTTTTCTATGGGGTTGAGGTCAGGAGATTGGGGCTCCCATGTCATAACACTCACCTGCTTCTCATCAAAGTATTCCTTCATCAATTTTGATTTGTGACAGGGAGCATTATCCTGCATAAAAATGAGCTTGGTGGGGTCAATTTGCACCCCTTTCAGCAGAAGGGAGCAGACAAGACACTAAAATTCTCTTGTACTGCTTGCTCTTGAGGGTCTTTTCAATAGGTTTTAAGAAACCAGTTCCATGAAAAGAAAAGCATCCCCAGAACATTATACTGAACGGATGCTTGACAGTACTTACTGCTAAATTCAAAGAACTTTCAAAGCTTCTTCAGATTTTAGATTGCTTATTCTTTGAATTTAGCTCAACTTTCATTTCATTGGAGAAGAAAGAGAACATTTAGTAAAAAAAATCAGGTGAGTCACTTTTATCGAACAGCACTATATATATATATATATATAAAAAAACTGATGTCAAGTGAATAGGGGCCAATACAGACTTAATATATACACAAAAGCATGGCATTATTTCATTTCTGTTGTTCAAACGTTTGTTAAGTATCCAAGTGATACCGTCTTCAGAAGACATGACACAAGTCAGATCAAACAGTAGTTGCCCTGGTAATGGTAATATTAGGTGTTTCCTTATAAGGAAACATTCAATATTCATTGACCAAGCTGTGACACTGGCAGATGGAAAGAAAGAGATTAAATTAAAAATATAGCTTGGAACGAGACAAAAAGGGTTAAGAAATAGAATGATGGATATATTGAGAGAAGAGAAAAAAAGGATTTATTTTTATTTCCAAAGTCTTTTTTCATCTTAAGACAGAGATACTTTGAAGAAAAGTGATTCTGTTACAAGATATTACCACAAAAGTCATATGGTGATGCTTGGTCGACAGCTGATTAATGAGATAGCTTAAAAAATGCCAGTTATGAAAACACAATATAAGCAGAATAGATAAACTCTAGTCTGTAACCAAATCCTGGGAATAGAGCTCCCATTGTGTAAAGACCCAGGACCCAGGGTGCTTAGCGTACAATGACCCTGGTGGGTGACTGACTGGAGGAAGCAGCTGGTAAATTTCTGATTTTTGAGCAAAGCCAGGCTGAGAAATTTTGTCGATGCAAAATCTAAAATGAGAATTTTAATTAATTAACCTAAGCTATGCCAAGTGGTTGAGAGCTAGATTGGTTGAAGAATGGCCAAGGTGACAGGCACAGGTGAAATAACACGGAAGACAGCGGAATTTCCTATGCCAATTGGAAGTGTTGGTGTGAGGCACAAATAAGAAAGGAAGAAGTTGGGAGGATCGATATCCTGTGATTGCTACCCATCAGAAAAGGGGGTCTCTCAAAATCTGGAAGTATAATTATCCAGAGCCAGATAACAAAGAGACACTTGTTGGGGATAGGGGAACTACCGAGTCCCCCATATCCATATCAAGCCCCATGCTAGTTTCAAATGGAAGTCAATATAAGCAGAATACCAAGATGACCAAGACTCAGAAGTTCCAGACTACAGACGAGAGATGACAACACCATGCAACTTACTGCCAGAGAGAACCTCTTATTTGAACTTTGTTCTAGTTGAGCATAGTCTCATAATAAAACACAAAGCTGGAAGGGTTAATGTTTTGTACCCAGAACCAATTCATTGTATAAAAGCAGTACATAAATTTTCATACAACTAGACTCTGATGAACATTTTTCTTTATCTACAAGGACATTTTTTTTGTTAAATTCCTTTGTGGGGATCAAACCAACACTTCAATTGTTGATGAAAATCTGATCTTTGCCAGCTCTGTGATCAATCAACACAACATGGGCAGAGCAACGGTTTAGACCAGAGTGACCAACCCAACAGCTAGTGGCAGCATTTGACCAAGGTCTGACTGACAAGCAGCCCGTACAGTTTTTTGTTGAAATTTATAGAATCTTTGTCCTGAAATAATTCTTCAGGAAAATAGGTTTCTGAAGTCCAGTAGATGCTATCACTCTTTCCACTATTGATGGGGGTTTCCTTCCTAACCTTTTGTTTGAAGTAGTGCGGAACATCAACATCTTGATTATGTCATTATTTTCTCTTTTAGCTACATATGCTATCCATTTAAGCTGTTGCTGCTTTTGAAAATCCTTAAGTGATGTGGTTTCTATTATTTGGTACAAGTCATTGTTTATGATTTTGCAGTGAACGCTGTAGCGAGTATATTGGGGAACTATTCCATGACAAAAGAGAACAACCAGCAATATACAGAACTACCAACAGACCTGAGATTCTAAAAACCAAAGTAGAAGCTGCACTGGCCAAATTGAACAGAAACAAGGTGGCAGGGCCAGACAGAACTGTAATGCAAATGCTGACAGCCTTAGATAACTTTGGCATAGACAAGGTTACAGAAATAATAAATGAAATCTACAACAGTGGGGATATACTGGAAGATCTTAGCAGACCTATTTTCATAGCACTGCATAAGAAACAAGGCACAAACGAATGTGAACTCCACCGAACATTCAGCCTAATGAGCCATGTAACAAAACTCATCATCCCTATTCTCATGAATAGAGCGCGCAGCAGAATTAGGCCAGAGATAGGACAAGAACAGTGTGGGTTTGTTAGAGACACCAGAACAAGAAATGCGATACTCATGCTCAGAATGTTATAAGACAGAGCAATACAAATGCAGAAGGACATGTACCTATGTTTTATAGACTACGCAAAGGTGCTCAACAAAGTATGCCACAAGGATCTGTTGGAACTGCTTATCAACCTTGATATATTTGGGAATGATATTAGAATAATCAAGAACCTATACTGGTAGCAAACAGCATGTATGCACATAGAGGATATACAAAAATAGAAAGGAGTGTAAGGCAAAGATGTGTCTTCTCACCAGACTTGTTCAACCTATACAGTGAGGCAATTCCAAGAGAATTGGAAATCCAGAATTCAGCATTTGTAGCTACAATCTTAACACAAGATATGCAGATGACACAGTGTTGATAGCAGACATGGAAAAGAAACTACAAAACCTCCTACAGAGGATAGCAAAGGAGAGTGAGAAGAAGGGACTAAGTGTCATACCTGAACGTACCTATTCTATTATTAATAGACTCTCTCACACATAATAAGTAGTAGTAGTAGTAGCGGTCGCCAGTTGAGCTCAGTGGTGTTGAGTGAGTCAGTCAATTTCGGACATTGAAGTATCAACCATCACAACGAGATTGCTGCGTCATTAACTAATTATTGCAAGTTCCTAACGTTTTGTACGTCGAACCTAATTTAGGACGACTTATTGAAATACAAGCCTCCACTGTGAAAACTACTCTACAACACTAAGTAAAAACTACAAGAAGACAGAATGAATGGTCATCAGTAAAAGGACAAGCCTGAAATGCGATTTACAGGTTTTAACCGACACTAGAATCAAGCATGTCAATCCATTAAATTTAAAACGTTTTAATCGTAAAAAATTGCGTTGAGATCCGAATATATATTGGGATGGCCAAAGACACATTACAAAAGCTAGGCAGAGTATTACGAAACAGGAAGATTTCATTGATAACAAAGAAAAGAGAATTCAAGTGCTACATGATATCTGTCCTCCATTTTGGCAGCCAATATTGGATGGTTTCCTCAAAGATGAAGACGAGATACAAGGCAACAGGTGTATGGTCCTACAGAAGGATGCTAAGGATATAAGGAGGAAGCTTATATTTAATATCAGGAAGAGGCAGATGAAATTTCTGAGACATGTAATGAGAAAGGAGGGCTTGGAGAATCTGATAGTCACAGGGCGAATAGAGGGAAAGAGACAAGAAAAAGCAATGTGTGACATACCTAGTAGACTTAAGTTAGTGGATGACAGAACATGGTCTGAAGGAAGTAGCAAAGGGATAAGACTTATTGAGAGCTACAAGGGATAGGGGGAAGTGGAGAGCCATGATCACCTACATCCTGAAGGGACATGGCACATAAAAGAAAAAAGAATCTCTTGCATTTTAGTGGCTTTATCTCCTTAAGGACAAATGATTAAAAATGAAAAAATAAAAGTAGATATTTGAAGTAAAGATTGAAAATTCTCTTGATATAGTCCGATAACTTGTGGAATAATAAATCAATGAAGAATTTCAGACAAGATTTCCATTTTAAAATGTGTATGTCTGGAAAACAGAAAATAACGAAGGGAAGTAACTCATCTAAAATTTTACTTACTGACAGTGTATCCAGAGAAAAGCATTTCTGCTTGCTGGCACCTGGGAAGAATGCCCATCAGGTTGTAAGGGAATGGAATTGTAGTCACGTTGTTATCCAGGTGAGGACAGTTTTCCATGTCTGGCGTACATTTCTCTGTGCTGAGAAATCAATAAAATTAACTATTAAATTACATTAAAATATAATTATTATTGCCTCATGGAAACAGAGCAAGCAATAACTGAACAGTACTAAAAAGAGAACAAGACGAGGTATCCCTAGGCATGGACAGTGGAATGACAACAATCTACCCTCGTAGATTAAATTACATTACGATATAATTATTCCACAATGGTTCCACAATACTGTTGTGACATGAGGATAACTTAGAGGTTTGACATGCAATAAAATTTAGTGTCATAATTTCTAAGATATACTAGACAACCAGGTGAGTGTTGGTTTATCTATCAATAGTAAATGGTTTAAAACAAAATAAAATGATTATCAAAGATTGTCATTGAATTTACAAACAGATTTTCTTAATATATAAATAATAATAGAATTTCATAAATATCTTCATTGAAAATAAACTGGAAATTTAAGTAAAAATAATAATGGTTGACGACATTTCATCTAAGAAATTCAGACAACTTAAGACTATTACTACTTGGTGGAAAAGCAAGAGAAATAAGATGAAAAAAATACTAGTGAAAAATGAATAATAATTGCCAAGGCTTCATCTAAGAAATTCAGACAACTTAAGACTATTACTTTTTGGTGGAAAAGCAAGAGAAATAAGATGAAAATGAAATACTAGTTTGTTTATGAATAATAATTGCCAAGGCTTCATCTAAGAAATTCAGACAATGTAAGACTATTACTACTTGGTGGAAAAGCAAGAGAAATAAGATGAAAGAAATACTAGTTAAAAATGAATAATAATTGACAGTGTTTCATATAAAAAAAAAACATGATATTGCAAAAAGGAAATCATTTAAAACTACATGTGTTTAAAAAAAAGAAAACAAAAACTAATCCTGAGATAAAAACAAAATTTGCAAAGAAAAACTGTCTGCTCAAAGATTCACATACTCTCCATGACAAAAGGACAGTTTGTGTGTTTTATATATCAATATATAAAAAAAATAATAATATACATGATACAAAATACAGGATGTGTCAGAAATAGCTCCTACATAATGGTAAGACATTAGCTATATGAAGACAATATTGCTATTAATGTCTTATCATTATGTAGGAGGTGTTTCTGTCATACCCTATGTAAGAATACTGCAATTCAGATTTTCAGACCCAAGTGAGGCTTGACTGCAATCTTTGATCAACTTATCTCAAACAAGAAGAAATTTTTAAAAATTCCTAAATTCTTACCTGCTGAATTTATTGATGCCAGGTAAACAAGATGGAAGATGCTGCCGGTGCTGCTGGTGTAGCTGTTGGCTCTGTGCATGATAAGCATTATCTGGCCGACATTGGCACAAATGAATCAGTTGTTCAAATGTGGTGAGGCACGAGATTGCCTCATAATCAATATCATAAAACTAGAAAAAAAAATTAGAAGAATCCTTAGTTTACTGCATTAAAAATAGACAATTCCAAAATAACAATAACAACAGGGTGTAAACAAAATTTTGTATATGCCCAACAGTTTTTGGTCATCACTGGGTACTCCAAATTTTCTGTTTTGTTCCACATCTAAGCTACATTTTAGAGTACTTACTAATAAGGCACAGTGAAGTAATGGATAGTAGCTCGGATTGAGGAATCAGAGAGCAGAGTTAAAATTCCAGATGTATCTATTACATTCACTTATGTTTTAATACTCTTGGGAAAGGTATGAATCCTCTTCTTCTCCCCCACCCCTACTCAGCCAAGGGTAAATTGCAAGACAGACTGGGTTTTATAGCCTTGAATAACAACTGGTCTACTGCAGAAAGAAATGACAACCTACTGCGGGAAAAAGGAGTAATGGATAGCGGCTCGGATTGGGGAATCGGAGAGCAGAGTTCAAATTCCAGTCGAATCTATTACATTCACTTACATGCTAAAACCCTTGGGAAAGGTATGAATCCTCTCCTTCTCCCCTGAGCTATGGGTAAATAGCAAGACAGATTGGGTTCTTTAGCCTTGGACGGCAACTGGTCTACTGCAGAAAGAAATGGCAACCTACTGCAGGAAAAAATCTGCCTTGTCAGTCATGTATCGAAAGATACATGATCACATAAGAGTGCATCACGCATGACACATAACTGACTCAATACAACTACGACTAAAGGACTAGCCCGAGAGTTTTCTCACTACTTACTGGGGCTGTTTTAGATGCACATATATGAGGAGACACATGATGCTACTTTGCAACCCTGCAGTTTCCATCTGACTTGAAATAATTTGGTCTCATCCACTGTCCAGTATAAAAAGAATTTGTATGTCACCATTGCAGTTCAATGCCAAATCTGATCTGTTACATTCTGTCATTGACCATAACCTGCTGCTGAAGTCTCCCCACCCCAGCCATAACCAAAATAGAGATTGCTTTTGGGTGCTTGCTATGCCTTGCCCAAAGGCAACCAGTAATGTGTTTGTTATGGTTTTCAATTCAGAGATTTTCCTTCACCTACCCTGGTCAACACCTAAAACCAAAGTGCTCAGTTTGCACTACTATTTAACCCATAGATGAGAGAAGAGATGGCTTCATAAATTTGATTTGTTTTCTATTTAAAGCCAGAAAATATTTTTTGTATATTGTAAGAATTTTTTTTTTTTGGAGATGATAATGATTTAGTAATTGACAGTGAGGAGGTTAGGCTCCTCCTTGCTCCACACATTGGCCAGAGGGAGGTCAAAGCTCCACCTCGCTCACATCCACTAGACCAGCACTTCTTTATTCTTTTATGACAATATTTTTTGCAAACCCAGGTATCAACGAACTACAATGAAAATACATTATCCCTGTACAAGCTACAACGGTGCCACATTCACATTTTATAACTGCAGAGCGCTTATGTGGCACATCACGTTAAATATTGTGCATTTTTGAAATAACAAACTGACATTCAAATGTTTGAATTTAATTTTCATTTACCCTCAACATTTTTAAATTTGCCTTATTTTTACATGACCCATAGGTTTAAAAAGACACTTTACTATAAAACTAATTTATTAACTCTTGCTTTTTAGCAAATTTGTCTACTCAGTCCATATTGGTATTTACTGAACTTAAAACAATGGGATAAAAAAAAAAGTGGAGAAAATTTACACTTGCTAAAATGCTTACTACTTAACTGTTATATATATATATATATATATATATATATATATATACACATACACAACAGAATTAGTATAACATCTTATCATATAAACAAGTAATGGTAGTTTGCAAAATTAGTTTGTTAACCATTAGTCAGTTTGGTTTGGTTTATGGCATATCAACCTTAATGGGTTATTTAATACTGATAAGATTTTTATTGCTAGTAGTATTTTTTCCAAAAATGTATTGCTAGAAATAATGTATTGCTGGTAATAATTATTTACAAATATGTATGGCTGGTAATATTTTTTTCCTTCAAAAATGTATTGCTGGAAATAATATATTGCTGGTAACATTTATTTTCTTTAAAAATGTATTGCTTGTATTGCCATTGGTCTGTGTCAATGCAACTGATCAACCATAAAATGTTAGGATATTAAAAACAAAAGCGGAAAAATTTCATCTCATAAGAGTAACATAATTACTCAAATGACATCGAACATCTCTGATCACCACTTAAAAAACTTAAAAATATATCCTCTGCAAAGTGAAGATATCTAGCAAGCTAATTGTCATGGGCCCTTACCTATAACTACAGAATGAACTCTTCCTAACACTATGTATACTATGCCTCTCAAGAGAGAGGGTCGAATCGAGTGAAAATTTTTTATTTATGGTCGAACTCTCTTTTCTGAGCAGAGAGGAACCCGGACGAGCTCCACTTTTTTTTTTGTCTCATTCGGGAGGTTGACCAACCCAATCCTGTTTATTTTGGTTCTACAGGCATTTTTTGGCCTGTGTATTCAACATCAAAATCTTCTATTAACTCGGCCTTGTGAATACATGCTTTCCCTTAAATGTGTGTGTGGGGGTCCAAGATTGATACCGAATCGAGTTTAGCCGATAGTAGTTCACTCCAAACCAGACTGACAGTCATACTAACACCTTCCACATCTTGTATTATTATTTTATGTAATATACCTTCGTTATTTCTACTCTTGTGTTCGTGTTGTTCTTCCTTGGTCCTAACCTGGACCATAACACTAATGAAATTCAAGAATTTTAAATGAAGAAATTAATACTCTGACCTTGTACTGAGATTTCAAAGATGGTGTTTTGTGACATTTTAGTCTGATTAATTAGCTAACCTTTAATTATTAGGTCAGTTTCAATTAATAATACACATTTTAAATTATATATCTAGCTTTTGTAAACAAAACTTAATATGTTACAAGAAATTTTTTCATGTGACCAATGTAAACTTTTTTCCAAATCATTACCATTTTTTGGGGAACTGAGTTTGAAGATTAAGTTTAAGTTCAAAGTTGGAGTGTTGGAATTTTATTTCAGTGAAAGCCTTATTGCACTACCTTATAAAATTTATAAATTTTTTTAAGTTTTCCAAATTGTATATAGACAAGATGCAGGGTACAAGCACATTACGACTAAATTATTATATTTATTATTATAAAATGCCATAAATAAGACCTTCATTTACTTCAAAGGAAAATTACACTGAACAATTTAACTATATTATGATGTCATATTCTATACAGTGTAGTAGTTTTAGTGTGATTTTCAATAAACAATACAAATTTAAAACATTTTTACATTGCTCGGACTATCATCCTCATCTTTGTTGCCATATTTATCACAACATTTTGGCTGTTGTACACTCGGGTCTTCTTTCTTGAGGAAATATAGCACAGTGGATAAAAGCATTAATTAAATCCAGTGACAGGACTCAAAAAAAAGTTTTACCTGGTTAAGGTGGTGGAGAACTTGGAGAGATAATTAACAGAAGATAACTGATATATGACATCCATTAGACATGACATTTGGAACTAGAACAGTCTACTCCAGTGAGTGAAATAAAGGGTTCAGTTTGACATTCCAACCACCTGAAGAAGGCTGGAGTGTACAACAGCTGAAACATTGTGATAAATATAGCAACAAAGATGATGATGATAGTCCGAGCAATGTAAATAGTGTACATAATACCTCATCTCAGAAATATAGACAGATATTAAAACATTTTGTCTCATACTCTGTACCCAGCATTCTAATACAGAAGATAGACATTATTCGTATTTATTCTTCAAATAGTTAAATTTTGAAGTCAGTTTGTAAGCAAAAACCTGCAGAAGTTCGGTATTTCTGTACATTTTTTTTTTCAGATGATCTTTAAAACTAAAAGCTTAAAAATTGGTAAAAGATCTGAATTTAATTTTTGGTGGCAATACTTATCACATTGTACTCCAGATTTTTCACCAACTGCAATATTGATTTTCTAAAAAAAATCAACCTGCTCTAATGCATAAAATGGTGGTGGGATATCTTTTTTATGTGGCATGTCCTTACAGGACATAGCCGATCATGGCTCTACACCTCCTCCTATCCCTTTCAACTCTTAACAAGTTCCTTCCCTCTGCCATCTCCCCCAGACTACATTCTGTCATCCACTTGCTTAACCCAGCCAGATATACTATTTACATTATTCAAACTATTGTCCTCATCTTTGTGGCCATATTTATTCCAACATTTTGGCCATTGTATACTCTGGCCTTCTTCAGGTGGTTGGAATGTCAAACTGAACCCTTTATTTTGCTCACTGGAGTAGACTGTTCTAGTTGCACGTGCCATATTTAATGGATGACAGTTATCTCCTGTTAGTTCCCCTCTCCAAGTTCTCCACTGCCTTAACTGGGTTTTGAATTCACACTCTTTGGGTCTTTTCACTGGATCTAACCAATGCCAACTGTGCCCTGTGTCTTTGCCAGAAATATGGATAGATCCCGCAAGGTATGTCACACATTGTTTTCCCTAGTCTCTCTTTCCCTCTATTCGACCTGTGAATATCAGATTCCCCAGGCCCTCCTTCCTCATTATGTGTCCCAGAAACTTCAGCTGCCTCTTCCTGATGTTAAGTATAAGTTTCCTCCTTGTTTGCATCCCCTCTAAGACCTTATTGTTGCTCACACGCTTGGTCCATGATATCCTTAGCACCCTTCTGTAGAACCACATCTCCATTGTCTTGAGTTTCTTCTTCATCTTTGAGGAAATCGTCCAACATTTGCTGCCGTAAAGGTGGACAGATATCACGTAACAGCTCAGTATTCTTTTCTTTGTTACCAAAGAATTCCTCCTGTCTTGCAATACTCTGCCCAGCTTTTGGAATAGTTTCCCAGATATTTAAATTTCTGTGTCTACTTGATTCTAGTGTTCCTGACCTTCAAATTGCATTTTGGGCTCATCCTTTTACAGATGACCATGCATTCTGTTTTCTTGTAGTTTATGCTTACTACCTTCTTCTCGCTCTCCCTCACTACCTTTTGTAGAAGATTATGTAATTTCATTTCCGTGTCTGCTATCAGTACTGTGTCATCTACATATATTGTTAAGATTGTGGCTAAATCACAGAAGATTTTCCAATTCTTTTCAGAATTGCCTCGATGTATAGGTTGAACAGGTCAGGTGAGAATATAAGTTACCAATATTTACCTATCCCTAAACTAAGAAAATGTTTACAGACTCAAATATAAATGACTAATATTTATTTGTCCCTGAGTCAAGTAAATGCTTACAGACTGAAACATAATAACAATAAACAAAAAGTGTTTTCAACATAAAATAACTCAGCAATAACATGTCATTGAACTTTTGATTAATTCTGTTTTCAAATAGATAAGGATAAACTATACCCTAAAGATGTCTAAAGAAGAAGTTCAGCTAATAATCACTAGATGGCATTTACAAAACAGTATATTATGAAATGGACAATTATTTTAAGACACTTATGTTTATACATTCTTTTTATAGATATTTAAGTAAATGCACTGTTTATAATAAACAGTATTAAACAACATTTATTGGCCTGAATGTCCGAGAAATTTTCATAGAAAATATTTGGCCTCCTTAAATATTTGTATCTATAAAAAGAATATATAAACATAAAAATGTCTTAAAATAATTGTCGGACTTTGTCCATTTCATAATGTGTGATGTCATTTTACTGATGACTATGCATTTTGTCTTCTTGTAGTTTATGCTAAGTCACTTCTTTTCATTTTCTGTCACAACGTCTTTGCTGATAAATACAGACTTCCTAGAAATTTTGTCAAGTGGTAAAACTTATATCAATGTAGTTTTTAATGGCATATAAGTTTGTTTATTTTTATTCAAACACAAACATCAGCAAAGTTATCTCCTTTGCTGCAATGTTTCTCTGACTTTTTCATTTGTTTTTTAACCTTTTTTCCAGACCAGTTAAATCAGGTCAAAATTTAATTTTCAATGGAAACTTAAATAATATTAGTAGACAACTGAAATATTAGTAGATGACTGAAATAGCTTGAGGTAAATAGTAATAAGGAGGTTTGGATCCCAAATATCATCAGACTGAGGTCATAATTCCAAGAGTCATAAATCAATAATACTGGGAGGTGTAAATCAAAAGGGAACAAAAATTCATCAAAGATGACAACTTGTTAAATTACAACTACCTTCTTTTAAAATTCATGAAAATTTTCAATTTTATCATCAAAAGTATTTTCTTTTCTTTTATTGGGGTAAAATGGGATCTTGATCGATTGAAAATTTTCCTGGTAAAAAAGTGAAACAATTTCCATATCTCGAGGTCTACTAAAATCAACTCAATCATGATTTAGTTTGGTTTGACTTGCTTTACAGCATATCAACCTCAATGGGTATTTAATGACAACAACTTTTTTTTTTCCTGGTAATATTTTGTTTTGTCAAAAATCTATTTCTGGTAATACTTTTTTTTTTTCAAAAAAAAATTGATGGTATTTTTTTTTTTCAAAACTTTATTTCTGAAAATAATTTTTTTTACAAAATAGTTCTGGTATTAAAA